TTTTTTTTTTTTTTGTATTTGATGTTCTCCTGGAATTTTTTTATTTCATTGTCTTTTACCTGAATCATTTTCTTTTTTTTTCCTTCTTCCTCCCTTAACTATTATATATTTACTTTTTATTTTTCATCTTTCTCATTATCAGTTTCCACTTACTAAGCTAGTTTAACTATCATTAATCTTTCATGTTTACTTCCTCCACTATGTCTTCCTTTCTTCTTACTTTTCTGTTCTCTTTTATTTTGTTTTGTTTTTGATACAAGGTTTCACCATGTGGTTCAGGCTGGCCTTGAACTCACTATGTAGCCCAGGCTGGCCTTGAAAATGTGATGACCCTTCTACTTCAGCCTCCAGAGTGCTGGGATGATAGGTGTGCACAATCATACCCAGCTTCTGTTGTCTCTTAATGTATCACTTGTCAATTAATCCTTTCTCGGACTCCTTTCATCTCTTCAATTTCTTTTCTCTGCTACACCACTTTCGTATCTTAAAATAACATGTTGTTTCCCCCCTTTCTGTATGTACTCTAAATTCTATGTGCATTTTTCTCTTGGCCCAGCCAAGCTACCACTATAGAATAAATTTACTAACAAGTAGAGGATGATGTCTACTTTTGTTCCTAATTTCCTCATGATCTCTACCAGGTAGACAGCTCAGTAAGATGAACATACTCTGGGAGAAGGGAAGGCAAACTAGTTCCTAGAACTAGCAGCCCAAGGAAAATGGCATAAGAAGTAAGGAATAAAGAACTGAAAAAACTGTCACTCTGGGGCTGAGCATCAGAACAAAAGATTAGGACTCGCCACACCCCATCACCTATTCTTGATCCACAGGATTTATAGAGGACATTTTGGGAAACACCATCTTATGCAGATAAAACACTCATGTTTAGATTTCTTTACTAGGTTATTATTAGTGATTCTACTGGTATATACTACTACAAGTATGCTTATTCTTCATGTCCTTGTAGAATTATTCACAGATAACATTTCTTGGCACCTTGATTAAATAGTGTAAAATATTTTGTAAAGTAGATGTTTCTATATTGCCTTGCTTAGAATATGATTCTGAGTTGTATTTTTATTTTTACTATTTTTAAGGGCATTTTGGCCTATTATTTGGATATTGCTTGCCAAGAAGGATAAAGTTCTCAGAACTACCTAGACAGTTACCTTCTAACTCTAAGGATTTTCTTACGAGAAACTTTTGTTGGACAGATTTCATAACAGAAGATTTCAGAAACTTAAGAAAAATACAGTGTTGAAAACTCCCTGAGAAAAGAAACTTTGCCCTTGAATCTTCTAAAGTGTCTAGCACAGTATCTTGACCATAGAAGTTACTCAATAAATATTTATTGACTGACTGATTTTTGTATGGCTTTCAACACTCACATGAAAACACTATACTGCAGGACAGGGGATTTAGCTCAGTGATTCCGACGCCTGCTTTGCAAGCGCAGGGACCCAAGTTCAATCCCTAGTACCAAAAAAAAACAAAACAAAAACACTATACTGCAGTCTACTCTTCCACAGGGGAAACGTGTGGGATACAGAATAAGGCACCACAATTGGTAGCTGCATTGTTCAGCAACATCTGCATCACCAAACTGCAGATTATCCAGGCACTGGTTGCTACAATTCCTCCCCATCCACCCACCCATTTTTTACATTATTCATACAATGAAAAATGATTAACATTCTGTATAAAACTCCCTTAAGAATTATCCTCTCAGGCTAGGCATGGTGGTACAAGCCAGTAATTCCAGCTCTTGGGAGGCTGAGCCATGAAGATCACCAAGAGTTGAAGGCCAGCTTGGGCTACACAGTGAGTTCAAAGCTGGCCTGAATTATATGGTGAGACCTTGTCTCAAAAAAATAATGAAGACAACGATGACGATGAAGAAGAAGAGGAAGAAAAAGAAAAGAAAAAGAACCAAGAACTACCCTCTAAAAAGTAGACTGTTACATTTCACTAATTTTTTTCAAATAATTTTTTGGAAATTTCAATGTGAATGCTTTCATTAAAAATACTCACTTCATATTTCACCAAAGTGCATGGCTCTCATAGTTGTTTGGCAGTTGACACATCTTTATCTATGAGTACTGCTATTTAAATTACCATCTGAGATCTCTGTAAGATAAAATGTGAAAAGCAGTATGACAAAAAAATTTATTGAGGGCCGGGGATTTAGCTCAGTGGTTCTGGCGTCTGCCTTGTAAATTCAAGGGCCCAAGTTCAATCAATCCCCAGTACCAAAAAAAAAAAAAAAATCTAATGAATTTGAGGGCATTGAGGAAAAAGAAAGGT